TGATCTTTGATGCTACTATGTGTGTTTAGTTGATCTAATATTTATCATTATAAATTTATAATTTTAATAAGTTATATAAATTTAATTTTTAATATACTCATAATTTATAATAATTATAGTTGCTTTGGTTTAGTTGAGACAATAATTTGTTGTGTAGCCCAGACTAGCCTTAGCCTCTCTGGTGCTGGGATCATATGTACATGCCACTATGACCAGCTTTGCATTGTTACAACCTCTTGAGAATTGACATCATTTTACATTGAGCTGTTTCTCTTGAAGTCTCAGCTGATCAAGTGTAGATGTTGCTGCTTTGTCTTAGTCTCCGTTTGCTTGGAACATCTTTCCCCAGACCTTATTTCAGTGTCCAGTGATGATGGATAAACACCGTGTTTAATGACTGTGTACCCACTGTGAATCTGCCATTGACTTGAGCAAGAATTTTCCTAAAACTGGGTAGTTAGGTTATTTCCAATGTTTTACTCTTATAAATAATGACACAAAGTATGTCTAAAATAACTACTTTATTTCCTCAAGCTGGGTTTCCAGACTTTGAACTATTTAGATAAAAGGGTATAAACATTTTACAGCATTGGTCCAATCCCACACATGACATCTTTATGCTGAGCAACAAGATACAGTTGGAAGTATCTCCTTTATTGTGGGAATATTAAAGCCTGTATTTCTCCTTTGTACTCGGCACCTTTAACCCCCTCCTTGTAGTGGTCTAGGCAACAGTTTTCTCTGTGTTCTATTATAAATTCACTGGTAACACTTCATGCATATTTTTCCACTTTGGAAATCCTTTCATTTTAATTTCCCAAGTCATTTCTAATATATTAATCAGAAATTTAACTGTCATTTCTCCTCATTCTTTTACTTAAACATTTCCACTTTGAATTAACTCTCATTAGACCTCTTGTGATGGGTTTTGATACCTAAGCAAATCATAAAACCTCTGCTGTTCCTCTTAATAAGAGACCAAAAGCATTCATTTATCTAGCAACAGATATAACATGTCCAGAGTAATATTGTAAGAACTTTATGCTTTAAGGTTAGATGAAAATTCAAATTTCAGTGATTTGTGGACTTCACACTGTAGAAAGAGAAGCCATCTTCTAGGTAGTCTATCTGAAAAGGCCGTCAAGACAGCACTGCCCATCTAGCTCTACGGAATCTGTTGTCACTTGGTATTACACCTCAGGTTTCTTTCATCCACGAAGTCTTATCACTGGCTTCCCAGGAACTGTAGCAGCCATTGCTGAGGTACCAGTCACTATCTCCCTTAAATGATTTACAGTAGAGAATTTAAAATCACAGAATCACTGGTAGTCAACGAGTAAGAAGTGCCAACCTCATCCATCAAAGATTGTTTTTTAAGGTAGTGAAGATTCAGAGTGAGGAGGACATTGAAAGATAAAGGCTTTCTAAAAAGCTCCCAAATAGGATATTGGTGTACCTGGGAGGCTGAGGCAGGTGGGATTGTGAGTTTGACGTCAGTGTAAGCTACATAGTGAGTTCAAAGCAACCCTGGACCATTTTTTAAAAGGAAAAAAGTCTTCCAGATAACATATTTGCATATTTAGTTTGTTCTTTATCAAACATTCTAAATGAGCTTTTCCTAACATTAGGTACTTTGAAATTAATAGAAGGAAGAAAATATTTGAGCATTTTATGTGGTATATAGATGTAGCTGTTCTTTGAAATGAAGAATCAGCAATGAATGATTTTTTTAACTCCTATAAGATATAAGTTATGGCACAAGACACTTAGAATACAAAGGCAAAAAGAAGATAATACATGGCTCCTTATCTCAGAGGATATGCAGGTGGTAGACAGTGTGTACATATGACAAATAACTACAACATAAAGAAGTGTCCTGAAGGAGTTGTGTACCAAACACATAGAAAGTAAGACTAGTAAGTGTCTTTCCACCTGCAGACCAACTTTAGGAAGTTCAGTATTAGTTTACAGCTGCAATCCAGTTAGTCTTTGTGGATGGTATAAAGATAAGGTTTTTTGTTTGTTTGTTTGGTTCGTTGGTTGGTTGGTTGGTTGGTTTTTCGAGACAGGGTTTCTCTGCGTAGTTTTGCGCCTTTTCTGGAGCTCACTTGGTAGCCCAGGCTGGCCTCGAACTCACAGAGATCTGCCTGGATCCGCCTCCCAAGTGCTGGGATTAAAGGCATGCGCCACCACCGCCCAACAACGATAAGATTTTATAAGATGGTAAAAGAAAACCATTACCATTAGCAATGTCTGGAACTTCCAGCTAAAAGAAGCCCTCTGCTTACACAGCTGAGAGCAAAACCCCGATTCCGTGTGTATAGACGCTTCCACTCTGGTCCCAGGACTTGCTTTATTTTTGTTTTTCCTTCTCCTAGTCTCCTTCATGAAACTCACACATATAGAGAAAGCCATGGAAGCCATCGGTTCCTGTTGGTCTGGTTCTGTGGCAGGGCTTTAGGTTAGGAGAGCCCTGGATGTGAGTGTCACTTCGTAGTAAAGGGGTCACTCCTTTACCTGTTCCACTGAGTTCCAGACTGCAATGAGATTGGCGTTATTCAAGGCAGACCCAGAGTGCTCTTGTCGGCTCTCATTCCCTGCCTCTCTTGTGCATTTGCAGACATATTTGTTCCTGTGTGTGTCTCATTCCTGGGTATGCAGCTTTATGGAGATGATACTGAAAACATTTAGGGTTTTCTTTCTAGATGAATGTGACACTTTCTTCACCTCTCTGATGTTGACCTGGGAAGGGCAAAATGTTAAAATCAATGAATAAATAAATAATAAGGCCTACTAGGTATGAATACTACGTACAGTGTAAAGAGTGCTCAGGGACTTTGCCTTTATTGCCATTTTATCAGAGGCGATGAAATAGTAAGAAACCTGAAGCACTTGTCTGGGGATTAGGATAAAGTCTTAGACAAAAGTAGTGCTCACACGTTCATGCATTTAGTCACAGCGTTGTGTGCACTGCTAGGTCCTATCGTGAGGAAAAATAAGACATGAGCCTAACCTTGGGGAGTACTGTCGAGAGCCAGAATGTAAACTGACTCCTGATGTTTCAGAGTTTGTAAGTAAGAAGCATTATTATCTCAGGATAATACCCATTCATCCTCTTACTGTGCTCCTGATTCCCTGGTAGGTATTGAGAGTGCTAAAATGAATACAGCAGATTAATGCTTATGTTTGATAGAGCTTAAATTCCAGTTATGGATGATGAGGCAGAATGGGGATACAAGCAGTAAACAGAGTAAATACATCACATAACAAGATGAACAATGGCCAAAAACAGGTAGAAAGGTTAGGAATTTCAAATTTAAATTTCAAACCCTCACTGATAAGATTATTCTGAGTGGAGATCTAGGGGAGTAAGGATTAAAATTAGAGAGATGCTCATCACAGCTAATATTTGTTGAACATTTGCTACATGTGAGGTACTCCTGTGAGCTCTCTCTGTCTATGTGTTAATTCTTATGGAATTATATAAAGGAAGCATGACTGTTACTACCCGTCTTGGTTAGGGGTCCTATCGCTATGAAGAAACACCATGACCAAAGCAACTTGGAGAAGAAAGGGTTGATTTGGCTTACACTTCCATATCACTGTTCACCACCAAAGGAAGTCAGGACAGGAACTCAATCAGGGCAGGAACCTAGAGGTAGAAGCTGATACAGAGGCCGTGGAGGGGTGCTTCCTACTGGCTTGCTCCCCATAGCTTGCTCAGCCTGCTTTCTTATAGAACCCAGGACCACCAACCTAGAGGTAGCATCACCCATAATGAACTGGACCCTCCCCAATCAATCACTAATTAAGAAAATGATCTAGAGGCTGACCCACAGCCCAGTCTTATAGAGGCATTCATTCAATTGAGGTTCCCTCCTCTCAGGTAAATATAGTCTATGGGAAGTTGACATAAATCTAGCTAGCCCATTCCATTTTCAGCTAAGTGCCCAAGATTTCAATATCAGTCTAAAGACCTATTCACACCAAGAAAGAGGTCTCTAATTCAGAGAACAATTATTTGAACAGGTGGTAGACTTTTATAAGAAAATGGATTTTGATATTTTAAGCACGTATCTTAAGACTTCCAACATATTCTTTGGTAGACATCCATTAGGAGCTTGCTTTCATAAATCCAATAGAATGACTTTTCTATTACTGTTATGGCTAAGAGTGGATAGGTGGATCTTCAGAAAAGATGGGAATTGGAGATTATTCATTGTCACGAATGTTTTAAATATTCATTTTAAGTGTATTTACATTATTAATTTGTAAAATTAATGAAGAAGACATTTACAAAATTTACTCAAATCTGATCTTTAACAGTTATAAACTAAAACTTTAAGTGAAAGTCTGTCATGATGTATTTCTTAAACAGCTTCATTCAAATATGAAAAGAGCTCAGATAAACTCTCAGAAGGGTACTTATTATAAAGAGAATAAGAAGCCTTCAGTTTTACTCAATCATGAAATTAATAAAGGTCATAATGATGTACATATGTGTTTAAGATAATACACCCATAATATATTTTTTAATAATTTATTTTAATTTATATGCATTTGTGTGAAGGTGTCAGATCTCCTGGAATGGGCATTACAAACAGTTGTGAGCCGCCATGTGGGTGCTGGGAATTGAACTCAGGACCTCTGGAAGAGCAGCCAGTGCTCCTAACCCCTGAGCCAACTCTCCAGCCCCATAATATATTTTTTTAAACATGGTTCTGCTGTGTAGCCCAGGCCAGCCTTGAACTCACAGTACTTCTGTCTCAGCCAGCTGAATATTTGGGCTATAGATTACTCCACCACACCTGACTTCAATAATATTTAATATGCAAGATATTCTGAAGTAGTTTCTTTTCCATTGTTGACTCAAGAGATGCTTCAACTACTCTAAATGTTGTCAAGTTCTCACTGTACAGGAGGGAGCTTTTGATAAAGAAGTGGTCTCCCTCCTGTAAATACTGTAAGTTTAGTTATGTACAATCTCTTTCTTTTTCCAGGTACTCCAATTACGAATTTATTAGTGATAACTCTATTTCCTGGTCAGCTGGACTACACAACCGATACACAGAAAATTCACTTCGGGGTGTGATCCTGGATATACACTTTCTCTCCCAGGCTGACTTCCTAGTGTGTACTTTTTCATCCCAGGTAAGTGGTAGCACGTTTTAATGGCCAGCACTCACTGTGGATACCTAGCAGAAAAATTATTTGTGTGTCTGTACTTTTAGTGTTAGCATGACTCTGGTATAATTTCCTTTAAACTTAGTAGTGATTTCTTTTGGGAAAGAGTGAAGAGCTCCCACAGAAAAGCTGCTTGGGTGTGTTGAATATTGAGTTGTTTACAGCAGTGGTGGACTATGTCTCCACTGAAGCCAGTTAGTAAAGTCCTTTGAAGTACTTGTCATAGCATCTGACAGAAACAGCAAGTGATTAAGTTTGCTGTATACTTTCCTGAGTCTGCAAGCAGCTAGTATGTAACCAGAAGCCTTACATTTCAACACATCAGCCTTCTGCCTCGCTTGCTTTATAGTAAAGACAGTAAATGCAAGTCTTTTATAAGTCCTGTTGCATTTCTGTAAAGCAAGGAGCTATATATTAAATTTAAATAACTCAGTTTAAAAAATGTAAACACTGCAATGTCACAATAACTCCTTGAGTTTGATTGTTGTATATAGGGTATGGGTTTGATATGTATGTGTGCTTATGAAGTATCTAGTCAGTCTTCTGTGCCCTATGGAATACTGGTACTGCAATATTTCTTGTGAATTTTATACTTTCCCCATTTATCCAGTTATTACTGATTAGCTTGTTTAAACAGCCATTGAGTAACTATGCTCAAAGTTACACAGTGTGCTAAGAGGACTCAAAAGGAGTGGGAAGATATGAGTCTTGCTCTCATTCAGGATCAAAGTACAACTAGAGGACAATTACCAAAAATGATAAATAGGTGTAAAATAAGTGTGCTTAATGCTGAGAACCTCATGGTAAAGAAAATATATAAGAGAAGGCGCAGTTTCCATGGGAAAGAATTTCAGGAAGAATAAAGAAATGAACCGTATTTTTTACAGAATGACAGTCAGTACCTTGTCACAGTAGGATGTTGATAAGATTTTCAGAAGGTGCTTATCAATGCAAAGACTATAGTTCTTCATAGTGAAATGAGAGTATAACTCACTATATCAAAACAGCTACACAAAACAGGACACACAGCAGGAATCTTAATCTCAACATAAAATCTCCATAGCTTTCAAATTCCCATGGAGGCATCTAGTGGCAGTCTAACTGGGATGAGGATTCTGTCTGCCAGAATCACCTTTCCTTTCTCGTAGCAACAGGTCAGATGTGTGTCTACTTGACCCCACTCCTGTTTAAAGACCCTAGCTGCCTGATAATACAGACTGAGCAGGTTATGCTTTAGGAATATATAGGCCTGTACGTATACATATATGCATGGGATAAAAACTAATGAAAACCGAAGCCATGAATTTGAAAGAGAGCGAGGAATGTGGGAAAACTAGGAGGAGGAAAGAGAAGGGAGAAACGATATAATCATATTATTATAATCTCAAAAAGAAAAGAAAACAGTGTTAAAAAGAGTCATTTTGACAAGTAAGATGGCTCAGTAGGTACTCGCAGCAATGTACTTGCTGCCAAGCCTGATGACCTGAGTTCAAACTGCAATCTCAGGGAATGCATGCATGCATTCATTTGTAAATGGAATACAAAATTTAACTTTTTTTTAAAAAAGGAGTCACTTTTCCTGGTCACTGCCTGCCCTGTAGGCCTAAAGTTTAGACCTGTCTAAAGTCTGTTCCTCTAGTCCAGTTTCTAAACCTAGGCACTACTGGCATTTGGAGTTAATATTTTGTTATGAAGACCTATACTATATTATATGAAGAACTATATATTTTGGGAAGTTTAGCAGCATTCTTGGCCAGTAGTACCCTCAACACAAGTTGTCAAAAACAAAAATGTCTCTGGACATTGCCAAATGCCCCTAGCAAAGTTGCCTTGGATGAGAACTGCTGTTCTAATTGTAAGTTCTAAAATCAAATAAAAACATACATGTCTCAGCCGGGCGTGGTGGCGCACGCCTTTAATCCCAGCACTTGGGAGGCAGAGGCAGGCGGATCTCTGTGAGTTCGAGGCCAGCCTGGGCTACCAAGTGAGCTCCAGGAAAGGCGCAAAGCTACACAGAGAAACCCTGTCTCGAAAAAAACCAAAAAAAAAAAAAAAAAAAAACATACATGTCTCATTTACAGGGATGTGCTCAGTGTGTTCGCTTTTTTTCTAGCCTTTCTTAAGAATTCTTTCATGCCCATTCTGGGATAGAAAGTAATCATTTTTCTTTTTCCTTTTAAATATGTGTTTTAGAATTTTAGAACAACCAAGATTTTCTAAGGATGGTCTAGTCCAGGTCACAAATAGTCCTTACTTCAAGGATCTGGGTGGCGGAGAGGGAGTAGCTAGCCATCTATTGAATAATCCACTGTGTTGAGATGGAGGGCAGTCAGCTATAGCATAGATTATATTTGACTACCAGATAGATGTCCATTTTTCCCCTTCCTCAGCTTGTGTTAGTAATGCTAATTTATTTGTACAAGTGTTCTGCAAATACTCAGCTTTTAAAATAAACAAAAATAAGACTGTAGAGAGGACTCGGCAGTTAAGAGCATTTGATGCTCTGACAGAGGACCCGAGTTTTACCCAGTGCTCACATGGTGACTCACAACATTCCGTAACTACAGCTCCAGGAAACCAACACCCTCTTCTGAGAGACACCAGGCACATATGTGGTACACATATATACATGCAGACAAAACAATCATAAACATCAAAGTAATAAATAATAACAATAAACAAAAATAATTTAAAAATTCTTTAAAATAAAAAGAATTTTTGGTCTTATAACTCTTAATTTTGACTAGAAATCAGTACCATCATCACTTTATGATGTAGAATTTTTGTCTAGGACAGAGGAGAATGCTGTAGTGCCTTGCTTTTGTTTTATGATATCAGTCAGTGAAGTGAATTAGGACCTTGAATCCAGAGAAGCAGAAAGATTGTTTGAGAGAGGACTCTTTTGGTCTCCAAAAGAATGAGATTAATGCTTGCATACTATATGTCATTCCTAAAAACTGTTGACAGAAGTTTACCCAAAGTATTTGTTTGTTTGTTTTTGTTTTTTCAAGACAGAGTTTCTCTGTGTAGCTCTGGCTATCTTGGAACTTGCTCTGTAGACTAGGCTGGCCTTGAACTCAGGAGATCTGCCTATATTTGCCTCTGGTGTGCTGGGATTAAAGGTGTGAGCCACCACTGCCGGCTCACTCAAAGTAATTTTTGACTCTGTCTATCAAAACAAACCTCAAACAATATTTTATAACCCAAAGTAGACTCGAATAACTCCAATATTGTATGTTAGGGTTTAGAATAGAAGTTTTAACAATGAAAATACAGTATAATAATAATAGTCTATATTGAGTGGCAGTTTGTCCGAGGTGATCACTTCCATTAACTCATCTTATCTGACGGCTAACAACTGTGGTGTTAAGAATGTGGACTGGTTCCACATCCGGTTAAAAATATCTGCTCTCACTTATACCATACGATCTTTTTACAACTATTCTCTGATAAAGAGGTAATTAGTGCAGCTTAATAGAGTTGACTGCTGGGATTGTTTCCCTATCATAAGCCAAAACTGGAATTTCATGAAAAGTACTCCAGAAATGTCTCACCATCACAAAAAGAGCAAAAGACAGACTCATTCACAGGCCAGAATACCAAGCCATTAATTTCACAGAGAACAAGAAGGAGGGAATCTGGGCTTGGCAGGTGGGCTGTGCAGACCAGCTCTGACCATTTAGCCCTTGAACAGAGCACTTAGTCAACTACTGGTGTTTTGTGCCTTTTCTTTTATTCTTAAAAATAGTAATAATAATGATCTTGTTGTCTAGGGCATAGTTTTATGAGAACTGAAGACTTTCTTCATGTGAAGCAACAATAATATTTGGCAGTGTATTAAATACATTAGCTGCTAATATGCATAGTATGTATGTGAATAGTTATATGGATATCATTGCCTATTCTAGAGAATTTTCAGTATTGGTTTTTCAGCTGTTTTTCTGTTTATTGTGTTTATCTAATTATAGAATCAGTTTTTACTAATGTGGAATCTGATTTACCAAAGCAATTGTAGATGCTTAAAGACGTTAACATTGGGGCTGGAGAGATGGCTCAGTAGTTAAGAGCACTTGCTGTTTGTTCAGAGGATCCAAGTTCCATTGCCAGCACCCACACAGTGGCTCACAAACATCTGTAACTCCAGCTCAAGGGATTCAGTGCCCTCTTCTGGCCTCCATTGGCGCCAAGCACATACATGGTACCCAAACATACATTCAGGCAAACATCCAAACATATAAAATGTAATGCTCCTTTGTAAAAAATCTTTTATGATTTTTGAAAATAAACCTAGTAAATCTTAAAAATAAAAAAGATCTTAATGCTATTGGAGTTTACTTTGTTTAATGAGCAGCATTGCTTAGTAATTTTCCCTGTGACACCTACCTTTATAACAGTTGTTATAAAGTTGTTATAAAACAGTTTCATGCATTCTTTAATTCTAAATCCACACAGCAGGACTGGCTGCATTATACACTTTGAATCAGATTTTGGAAAGCCCAAAGGACAAAATTAAGAATAACATTCCCTTTTTGGATAGGAATTTCTAGTGAGGTGTAGTTTGGGAAGCAGTAGTGAACAGCTTCTGAGAGTGGCAAAGAGAAAACACAGTGATGTGACCCCTGTGCCTGCTTGCCAGCATGGAGGACAAGAAGTCTGTCTTGAGTCAGCCTTGATACCCCTCACCTTTGGTGCTGGATGCTGTACTGTGCAACTTGTATCGTATTCATTTGGACATTCATACAGTGCAGCAAAACCTGGTTTCATTCTCCCATTGTGTAGCAAAACTAAGTCATCTAAGGAACGGTGTGCAGATCTCCCAGTGTCACCCACTAAGCTGAGAACAGCTTTCAGATTCTCATACTAGGAAAGCCTCTGCCTGACTGTGTCATTTGACAAAAACAGAGTCCTCTCTGCTGTGAGAAAGCTTGGAAGCCCATGTACTCAGCTGGGTAATTATTTCTAAGGACGTTTAAATTCAGACTAATGGATACTTACCTTTTAAATATCTTTTAAAATCATTGTACATGTATTATATCCTTTAGCAGGAATTTTATGTTAATCGTCACTGTATGTTTAATAATATGCTAGAAAGTGATGAAGTGTTGGCACAGAAGGAAATAAAATATGCTGCATACAGCCACGTTACGTTTGTAAACTCTACTCAGCCCCTCTCAGTCATGCACAGAGTACCAACCTTGACTATTACTGTCAGCTACAAGCCTTCAGTCTACCTACCACGTGATTTGAATTTGTGAAGTCCAGAGGAAGCTGCATGTAGTTGAATGCAAACATCAACACTATAATGATCCTCCTAGCCCTTAGCAGTAAATTGCCCCAGGTTTGAGATAAACAACCATTATTTATTCAGAATGTTGTATATGGACCTTAAGTTTTAAATACCACCCATGGACTTGAGCATCCATTACTGGAGTACCACTTATTCAACAGATAATTACTGAATACCTACTTACTATGTGGCATCTACAGTTCCAATTGCTTATCCAAAAGCAGTTTCATAAGTACGTAAGAGCACATACTCTAGAACCAGAAAGAATTCTAATTGTGGCTGTAGTATTTAATATCTGCTTTCGTGTTTGTTTTTTTTTTAATAAAGTTACAAAATCTTCTCTGTGGCTTAGTTTCCTCATCTCTAAAATGAGTGAAAACAGTACTTAGAGGTTTGCTGTGACAGTGAAAGGCATTTGTAGGTGGGGCTTACTCTGCGACTGTGCCTGGAATGCATTCAGTAAGGGCAGTTGCTACCATTATGGCCATTATGATAAGATAAAATGCCACACCTACAGCACTGGGGTGATTAGAGGTAGCGAAATCCACACTTGTCCAGAAATCTCTCTTGTATTGGCCCAACTTGGTATCTGAAATTTATCATTATTTATTCCTTTGGTTTAAGAACATACAGATGTACTCAACAAAGGCTAACAAATAACTATTATATCAAAACATAAACTAATTATTAAAATTTCACAAAAAGAAAGCAAGGCCTTTTGGAACACGGAGCAGTGTTGTTCTTATGAGGGCAAAATGCATTAAAAAGTGAAGAGGGAGCCAGGCGGTGGTGGCACATGCCTTTAATCCCATCACTTGGGAGGCAGAGCCAGGCGGATCTCTGTGAGTTACAGAGCAAGATCCAGGTTTACAGAGCAAGATCCAGGACAGGCACCAAAACTACACTGAGAAACCCTGTCTGGGGGGGGGGGGGGACACGAAGAGGGAGAATCGTATGTGGGTAACTGCTAAGGTAGAGATTGTGGTCGTGCTGAGAGTAACCAGCCTTGCATTTCTGGCTGAGAAAGGCAGAAGAGTGGAATGAAAGGCTGCTCTTAGGTTGTGTCTTTCTGATGTAACCGAATGAATATGGAGTGTGAGATTTCTAAGAGAATATGTATGACAGTTACAAATCTCTGCAGGTTGCCTGTGTTCCAACTTGAATCTACCACTTACTAGCAGTATAACGGTGGCAGATGCTTTTGTTTTTAGTTCTCTTTGGCATCTGTAAGATAAATGATAGAATCTTATGGGGATACTAGGAGGATTATGTCAAATAATGTCTCACATCAGTATTGGATAACAAAAGCTCCACAAACATTAGCTTCTTCCATGTTATTTAGTTTGTTATTAGTGGAGCTTCATTATTTTAATTACAGTTATGTGTTTCAGCAGTGAGGATACATTCTTAGAAATGTGTCATTAGGCGTTTTTTTTTGTCATTGTCAGAATGTGACATACTGTGGACTAAGATGGTTACAGAGTTTTGAGGATGTAATCTTACAAGACCACCATTGTGTATTTGATCTGTTATTGATATTTGTTTCTTTCCAGAGTTCAATTTAATTTTGATTTCTCTGTGTGGGCCTTTGAATTTAAAGTTTAAAAGTTCCAAATTGCTTTTATTCTCATTTTATTATAGTTTTTGTTTCTACCGTTGATCCCATCTATATCATGGTAGCCCCGTGATAAACTTAGTTTGTTGACAAAGGTAACTTTAAAACAAGCTGAACCTGGTGATACATGCTTGTATACCATCATTGGAAATAGAGAGGTAGAAAGAGTGAAAGTCCAAGGTCATCCTTAGCTAGATAAAGAGTTTGAGGCATCCTGAGCTACAGGAGCCCTTATCTCAAAAACAAACAAAATCATTGTCTTGATCCTTTCTGTCAATAGTTGAAACTATAGCACTAAGACTTTTGTATTTTAATTTCTGCAACAACAACAAAAAAAAAATAGAAAGTCATTTAACGTTAGTTTGATTTGCCAATTACATCTGGCCTTTGAGAACTGCTCAAGTTCCCAAAATTCAGATTCTCTAGGAAGTTGAGGTGAGAGTTAACCTAGTCATTTTATTTGGTTTTAAATATTAGGATAAGGTGTTGCTCAGGTTAGAGTGCTTATCTGTGTACACAGCCCTGAGTTTCCTGCCCAGCATAACTGAGAAAGAGAGAAAAAGAACATTTTCATTCAGTTCTTGATTTCTAGGCATGCCTGGGTTTAGAAACATCTGCTGAGCCATTTGAAAGTGCCATTAGCAGATTAATATCTATTAATAGTGGTCTCATTTTTAAATATATTCAAAATGTTGGCATAAGGACAATGAAAATTCGTTAACTGAGATAACCAAACTAGAGATGTAGAGAAATTTGTCCTGAATTGCGATCTCAGTTGGAATGTAAAAAAGAAAGTGCTCTAAGCGAAATGATAGTTCTCTTCTGTGGTCCCCTAACTTCGGAAGGATCTGACGCCCATCTTACTTTCTGGTGAATCTATTAATTGCCTGAATTGCCTGAGTGCTACCCTTCTGTGACGGGTAGCTTTATCACCAAACATATTAAATTCAGGAAGGGAAGTTCAGGGTGTGCGATTTTACCTGCTAGTAAGAACATTCTTTAACAGAAGAATCTTTTACGTGATCTTAAAACAACACTATTGGGCAGCTACATCTTCCTTAAAGATTATTAGCCCAGCTATGTCAGTCCTAACATGCTGCTACGCACAGAGCACACTTTAGAGCTCTTTAGAAATAGCTGATATGTCTGAACCCACTTGTTCGCTGATGGTCAGTAAACACATGCATCTCTATGGAGGAGAGTTCTAAGAAAACACTGTGGTTCAAAGTGGATAAAGGGGGCAGAGAGACAGCTCAGCTATTTAGAGTGCTTCCTGCTTTCTAGAGGCCTAGAGTTCAGTCCCACGTGGGGTGGCGACTCACAGCCTCCTCGAACCCCAGCTCTGGGGGATCTGACAGCCTTCGGGCTTCCATAAGCACTCGAACAGGAATGCACATGCACATAGAGAAACATATGCACATATCCACTAATACAAATAAAAATTAGTTCTCAGCAATTTACCTTTAAAAAGAGAGTGGATGAAAGAGTGAGAGCAACAGCATTCGTGTTACTTGAAGTGCTAATCCCAAACCTTAAGTTCTCTAGAGTAACTTTATCTTACTCACTTTTGTGTCACTAGTTCCCAGCTTGGGGGCCATGTGGCCCTTTACAATGTTTATTAAAACTCAGTTAATTCATATTCTTAAATTACACTGTACAGTCTGTCTTTGGTTAAAGATCGGTATACAGTAGGATGTTTACCCTGTGTACTAACCCACTCTTTTTTCCCTCTTTTCCAAGGTCTGTCGGGTTGCCTATGAAATCATGCAAACACTACATCCTGATGCCTCTGCAAACTTCCATTCCTTAGATGACATCTACTACTTTGGAGGCCAAAATGCCCACAACCAGATTGCAGTTTATCCTCACCAACCTCGAACTGAAGAGGAAATCCCCATGGAACCTGGAGATATCATTGGTGTGGCTGGAAACCACTGGGATGGTTATTCTAAAGGTGTTAACAGAAAACTGGGAAAAACAGGCCTGTACCCTTCCTACAAAGTCCGAGAGAAGATAGAAACAGTCAAGTACCCCACATATCCTGAAGCTGAACAATAGAGATGATGTGTAAGAGATTAACCACAGGGCTCAGTTCAGACCGTCTCAGCCAAGCAGAAGAAGACCCAGACTAACACGTGGTTCATTGCCAGACATGCTCCGCACCAAGAGCAAGTGGGAGCCACCCTCCGATGCTGCGCTGGTGGGATGCCTCTTTACGAAGGGCTGCTGCGCCCTCAAGCCCAGGCCCAGTACAATAATGCACTCACACACAACACACAAACGGACTGTTTTCTACTTTGCCCCTTAAATATTATGTCCCCATGAAACAAACACTGCCACGTTGTGTAATTTAAGTGACACAGACATTTTGTGTGAGACTTCAAACATGGTGCCTATATCTGAGAGACCTCTGTGACTTACTGAGAAGATGTGAACAGCTCCCTTCTGTGGGGAAGTTGGTTCTTAGCCAGTGGTGGTGGTGTGGCCACTGAATTCACTCCAGTCAACAGATCAGAACGAGAATGGATGTTTTTCCTTTATATGGTTGTCTGGATTTTTTTTTTTAAGTAATTTCATCACTTCGGTTCATTCACCTCATCATTAATAAATGAAGGAATACACCAATAAAATAAAATGAAATATTCACTGTCCATTAGGAAGTTTTGTAAAACAATACCATGAACAAAAATTCTTTAGTACTCAATGTTTCTGGACATTCTCTTTGATAACAAAAATAAATTTTAAAAAGGAATTTTGTAAAGTTTCTGGAATTCTGTATCACTGGATGATGTAGTTATAAGGTTTATAGTAGAAATATGAGGAAAATGGTCTTACAGCTTTTAAGAATTTTTTTCTACTTTTGTCCTTTTTTCCATTTCTGATAGAGTAATCTTATTTTAACTAAGAGAAGCATTGATCCCCTCTAATGCCAGTAACTGGCTTTCGTTGGTGCAAAGAACATGCTTGGGGGAGGTGTTCGTTCTCTTACTTTGGATGTTATTGATGGTCATAATTGAATGAAATAGTCCTTCTCTTGCCTCCAGGGAAACTAATCCACAGCAGGTTTGTGTGGTGATCTCTCACTGTGGCGGTTGTCACAGTGAATTGGATCTTGTTGCTCATTCAGGTACATGCTCTTCCTGTCGTGCCCTGCTCCTGAGGACACAGGACTCCGAAGGGTTGGAAGCTGATTGTGTTTCTGAAGTTATAATAGCTCATGTGATATAGATGCTTGCGAACAGAGGGGAGAGGGGCCGGAATAAGATCCAGAAGGAGCCTAGAACCACCTGTTCCAAGTTTCCTTCTAGGCGCCCATGTTGGAATCCTGCAGAAGAGTGAGACACTTTCTCTCCTTTACAGGAAAAGCCCCTCTGTATGGAGCCCCTTCTATAGGCGCATTTCATAGCGTGAGTTCTAAAAAGACAGGGTTGCTGTAGCCTGGCTGGCCTTGACCTCATAGGGATCCACTTGCCTCTGCCTCCGGAATGCTGGGACTAAAAATGTGCACACCACACCCAGCTTGCCTCCCTGATGAAAGATTTGGTCCATGTAGAAGCCAGTCATGGGCCTGGAATTAAGTATCAGGGTTCCAGAAAGAAAAGCTTAGTGAACTCTGACCTTTACGACCTTAGGAAATGAAGTCATCCCACTAACTGTCCCTAAATCCTAACTACCTCTCAACGCCCACCCTTCTGAAAGAGCAAAACTTTAACCAGTGTGTTCAGCAAATTTTCATTTAGTTTAGGCACAAATAAAAATCAGGTGAAATGGGATCTCCAGCTGAGCGGAGATAGACTGAGTGAGTCATCCTCTGGCTCCCATCTGACTCGTCATCAGAACATCGGGAACTGCAGGTCTGATTTGTACCTCTGCGGAACCAAAGGTAAATCAGTTTCTTTTCATCCCAAACTGACCCAGTTCCAGAGGGGAAAGAAAAAAGAGTAAAGTATGAAGGAAATAAGAATGATTCTCACATAGAGGCAAAGACATAATTCTGTGTATTTTATCCTTGAGTTCTGGTTCAGTTTCTTTTTAATTCATCCTCTCTGTTGGGATTTCCTCTTTGTTCACCAAAAGCATATTTTTTCTTTACTGAAGATAGAACAACTACTTGAAGAATCCTTTTCTGGGGTGTAGAGAATTAGCCCAATGGTAGAATGCTTCATATGTTGAGTAAGTGGTGTTAGATTGGGTCCTGGGCATTGGAAAGATGTTCTTATTAGTTACTATCTAGGTTTTTTGAAACAGGATCTCCATGGGTTGCCTTGGTGGGCCTCAAACTCTCAACCCTACCTTAGCCTGCCACGTGCTAGGATGGCAGACATGTGCCGGTGTGTTCGGCTTTGTGACTGATGTCGGTTCTGTTACAGTCCTGTGAAGAGTGCTGCTGCTGTCTGCAGGAACGTAGTTTTAAACCTCAGCGGGCTCTGCTTAGAAGCTGTCTTGGGTGGCAACTCAAATCTTAGTTTAGTTCCTTTGTCTTTATCAGAGTTTGTCCTGCATATACTTCAGGGCTTAGTTACAAACAAACACACCAGGCAGAAACTATGCACAGAACTTAGCTCTTTTGCTTTGACTCTTTTCTTTGAGATTCCTCTCTCACTTCCCAGCTGCTACAATTGATGACTCCGTCGTGTCAGTTTCTCCGTCCAAAAAGACTACAGTTTTCTTTCTTTTTTTTTTAATGGGGCTGGGAGCTGTCAAGACAGGCTTTCTATGTGTAACAGCCCTAGCTGTCCTGGAACTCGCTTTGTAGACCAGGCTGGCCTCGAACTCACAGAGATCCACCTGCCTTTGCCTCCCAAGTGCAGTGATTAAAGGCGTGCAACCATAAAGGTGTACACCACCATGCCTGGCAAGAATGCAGTTTTCTATCAGCTCAAATGCCGTAAAAATAGGACATTCTCCTGGTGCTCTTACCTTCTTCCACATTTTAGCCTGCCTCTGGAAGTTTCTGTTCCATTCTGTGCATTTGAGTATTATGTTGAAACCTTACAGTTGATCTGTTAGAAAATGTGTTCATAAGGTGCTCGCTCTGCCACACAGGAATAGAACTCTGTGACAGAGTCTTAAGTGAGAAAGCATGACAATAAGGGGCTGAGCAACCCTGCTGACCACATCCTGAGAAACTTCCCAGGGGTGCTATATTGTAAACCATCCTGGGCCTGATGGTGATTCCTTTTATACACACTGCCTTCTTGGGAAGGCTGACATGTCTTCACCACCTGGCACCTTGTCCATGAGGACCTGGTACTTAGAAACCCTATTAAGGTTAGAGTAGGAGGCTTGGATCTTTTCCTTGTTGAAAGACTCGTTTTTCAAAAGGCTTACCTGGAACCACATTACTACCCCTGGAGTATTGAATGTGGATAACAGAATTCTGCATATCAGTGGCAAAGCAGTTAACAGAGATGGATCAAGGCTTTGCTGATCTTTCACTCAAGTCTACTATGTTGACTTAGATTCTGAAAAAGTTGAGGCCTATTATAAAAGGGCTCCAAACCAGGGATTTGTTGGGATCCAAATATATAAGGCCAGTAGCTTCCCTCAGTGACCTTTAGTTTTCCCTTTTCTTTTTATTCAAGCCTACTTCCCTGATCCCCATTAAATAAAGATGAAGAACAGCTCCGGTGTGAGAGGTGAGGGTTAAGGGACAGAAAAGGAACCCCTTTGGCCACAGTCCACTGCCTGATAAGTCCTTTGTGCTACCAAGAGACTGTTCAGTAGGTTCAGTAGACGTTTGCAGAATAGATGTAAGGCTTAGAGATTGGTGAATTTGCAAATTTGGCCATGACACCTTAATTTATACTGGATACGGGCGCTAGGGAATTTTTTAAAGGAAATTTTATAGTTACTGGTTCCTGGCAGCATTTTCCCTTATAGAGACATGGAGGAGCTGTTCCAAGGCAGAAAAGAAACAGACTTTTAAAAGTCCTCTTGTCTTCAACTGTCACCGGTACTATACATGTTCAACAACCTGTTCTTGGACTGCATTCTCTTGTTAGTACAAATCAAAATCTCTGACTGTTGGCCTCCTGAGCTATTCAGTGTACCTCTTCCAGTTGCTCTTTCTTCTTTTTGTCCTCAAGACCACCTTGGTTTTGTAATGCTACCACCTTTATGAAGGATGACCTCATGAGAATGGTTCCCTTGTACTAGTCCATTTCTCATGTCATGCACATGCCTATTTACTTACAGGGACCACAGTTTTATTGTTGACATCTGTAAGATATAAATACAATTAAACAACTCCTTGGAGAGTTATAGATAAGGTGATTTGTGGATCTGAGACAAGGTGAAGCTGGGCCCTCTGCCCATTTAAACACAACATTCCCATGAGTTTTATAAATCAATGTCACCACACTTCATGGGAACATTTTATGTGAAGCTATGTCCATCTAGACAGACCCCTACACCTTTCAGAAAACAATCTATTGAAGGCTCTGTCCATGGGCCACTTAAGGTTTTAGGAAGAGTTCAGGTCTCCTGTGACCTCCTACCACAGGGAACTTTGTTGTCAGTAACTGTTCTCAGGAACCTCTCCTCCCACGTCACTGTCCTTTAGAAGCTGTTGTTTCCTAACTGCTGTGTGGGTAGAGAAAAGGCCATTGACAAGAGCATGTTGATTCATAACCCAGCTGGGTATGCGAGCCTCTGTGGAGGCGGGAATGTGCATCACTCTGTACCCAGAGCACAAATAGTTTAGGCTGTGGGTGTGGTCAGCAGTCTGAGGAATGATGGGCTTTGTGTTCCTAGCTAGTATTCCGTAGAGGATGACAGCCACTAAGACTTTCTAGCTAAGTAAAGGAAATGGAAGGAAGTGGGACAAAGGCAAATGACCACTGGTGGTGTTTCTCATTCAGAGAACCTGTAAGTGCAGGCCATGTCCTTGGACCTCAGACCTCAAAGATAAAGTCTACGGTGCTCACCATTGTCCCTGAATGAGACTTACTGTGATTGGGCGAAACTTCTTCAGAACTTCATATTCTTCATCTATGGAATAAGTTGGTTAGTCCTATTCAGGGTTTGCAGATTGTCTAGTTGGATCTCACATATCTAAAGAAAGCAGTAATGGTTCAGCATCCGCTGATTACTGTCTCAAGGGCATAATGTGACCACATCTTTGTCTTCCTAGGCAAACAAGATCTATTTCTTGTGTACGCGCTTCAGATTTTTAAAACTGCAGCAGATACATGGGAGATAGTTGTGTAGCTGGGTCTGTTTGAGGGGCCCCTGGCAGTGGGATCAGAATCTACTCCTGGTGCCTGAGCTGGCTTTCTGGATCCCATTACCTATGACCAGACACCTTGCTCACCCATGATAAAGCGGGGAGGGGCTTGATCCCGCCTCAACTGAATATACCTTAGCTGTCCCCCCATGGGAGAACTTACCCTGTTGGAGGAGGGGGGGAGAGGAGGGGAGGGGTGGTGAAAAGAGGGATGAGAGGGGAATCTGTGGTTGGTATGTAAAATTAATTTAAAAAAATTAAAAAGAACTACAGCAGATAATTAAAAAACAAAAACAAAAAACATGAAGCCAGGTGGTGGTGGCGCATGCCTTTAATCCCAGCACTTGGGAGGCAGAGGCAGGCGGATCTCTGAGTTCAAGGCCAGCTTGGTCTACAAAGCAAGTTCCAGGAAAGCCAGGATTGTTACACAGAGAAACCTTGTGTTGAAAAAATAAAACAACAAACAAACATGAAATATATATAGCAGTCAAAAGGCAGTAAAATGTGACGGTTTGCACAGGTTA